GGACTGGGGTGGCTCCGCCAGTGGCAGCAGGGAGGGGAGCCGTGGGACCAGGGGGAACAGTTTGACACTCAGAGAGGGAAGGCTGAGATGAGATCTGAGGAGGAAATTCTCTCCTATGCGGGTGGTGATCCCCTGGCGCAGGTTGCCCCGAGAAGCTGTGGCTGCCCCATCCCTGGAGGTGTTCAAGGCCAGGTTGGACGGGGCTCTGAGCAACCTGGGCTGGTGGGAGGTGTCCCTGCCCAGGGCAGGGGGGGGACTCGATGGCCTTTAAAGGTCCCTTCAATCCAAACCATTCCATGATTCTACGATTGAACCCCAAAGCTGCAGAGGGCTGGGGGGGGGTCTGACCTCCAACCCCAGTGCCCTGCACGACTGTGGGCAGCGCTTCGTTAGGCCACGTGCCTCCCCTTCCTCGGCGCTCGGGGCAGAGGACGCAAGCGTCAAGGCAAGCAGCGCCTGGGCTCATTTACCGCAGCAGGAAAGGTTTAAAAACCTTTTAACAGCTTGATGAACGGGAACGCGGGAGCGCGGTGTTGGCTGCAGCCACGTTTCGGCTGCCTGGGCCGGGGCTGCGGGCGGTCAGCAGCGCCACGGCTGAGCACATTCCTGCGTCCGTCCCGCAGACAGGAGCGCGCCTCACATTTTCCTATCGCCCGCTGCCAGGCCGGCTCCCCCTGCACAGGCACGCACGCGCCGGCACACGCCACTGCTTTTCTTGGCTACCCGTACCGGCAGCTGCCCCCAACGCACCGGTGGCTTCATCCCTCCCCTTGGCTCCATGGCCACCGGGATGTGCACGTGGCCACTGGTCCCATGGCTCTGGGGCAGGAGCAGGCCCTGGCATCACGGTGCACTGGTGGAGTGGCTCAGCTGGGCACATTCTGGAGATGCTGCTGGGCTCCACATCTCCTGTCCCTGATGCTGGTGGGGAGCACGAGGGATGGCCGCCCTGGTCCCCATCAGCAGCTGGCATGGGGACACGCTGCAGAGATGAGCTGTCCGTGACCTGCTGCAGTCCGCGGAGCGACGGACACTAAGGGAGACAGAGGAAAGGACGGAGCTGCTCTGCTTCCCTCCACGAGAGGCTGGGGGCAGGAACCAGCCCCCGTGGGGGCTCCGGACCCTCACTGGCTCTGTCTGCCCGGCGGGACCTGCTGCCCCAGCCCAGGGCTCGGAAAGGAGCGGTGAAGACAAAGAGGCCCCGAAGAGCTCACCCAGACAGCAGGGCTGGTGCCAGCCCCAGCCCAACACCCAGCCGGGGGGCAGAGAGGGGGAGTTTTGGCTCTGCACCCCCTGGACAGCAGCGAGGGGCTGGCAGGGCCGGGCAGGAGCGGAGCGTGAGAGCCCTCCAGCCTCTCCCAGCTGCCCTCGCGCTGCAAAACGCAGAGACCCTGTCCCCAATTACAGCCACAGAGGGACGAAGGTGTGAAGGCGACCTGTGCCCCGCACACCCCACAGTCAGGGGTCACCCTCGCCCCGCGGCACCATCTGGTCCCCATAAACACTTGGAAAACCACATGGAGCCTCCCACAGAAAGGCGCCAGGAGCCCCGGGAAGGCAGAGCCTGTGGGAGCCCCCGGGGCCACGCCGGACCCATCCATCACGCTCCGAGGAGATGCCAGCGCAGGACCAGGACGTGTGCAACCCCCAGGGAACGGGGCAGGAATTTCCCCCTCGGCATCCCGGTCCCAGGATGCTGCTGCTGCGCTTGGCTGGAGGCTGCACGCTGCTGGGGCATGGCCCAGAACCTGGGGGCTTCCAGGGCCATCTGGTACTGACCTGGGAGACCAGCTAAGGCTGGCACAGACGGACAGACACCGGGATGTCGACTCTGGAAGCCTCATCCCGTGGCTGGTAGTGGGAAAGCTGTTTTCCAGGTGGCCTCTGGGAGCCCAGCGCTGCAGCCAGTGACCCCGGGACGACCCAGCATGGCCCCAGGAGATACCACTGAGACGCCCATGGCTCTTCTGGCCACGGGTAGCGACAACACCCACAGGCAGTCCAGAGAGGTGGTGGAGTCTCCCACTCTGGAGACATTCAAAACCTGCCTGGACGCTGTCCTGTGCAACGTGCTGTAGGTGACCCTGCTCTGGCAGGGGGGTTGGACTAGATGATCTCCAGAGGTCCCTTCCAACCCTGACCATTCTGTGATTCTGTGATTCTGTGTGATTCTGTGAGTCCCCCACAGGCACCGTCTGCTCACAGCACGGGACGAGGGAGAGGTGACGGCGTTGGTGACAGCCCACACTTGGTGTGGGTCCCTGTTCTCGGCGTGACACTGCCGCTCCCAGGTGGCACATGGTAGAGTGTATGGCTCTGCCCGGCCGCCCCCCGCCGTGGTCCCCACAGAAGTACCTGCTCCCAGAGCAGCGTGTGCATGTATTGATACCGCTGCACGGCTCCCTCGGTCACAGGGGTCCCCACCAGCAGTGGCAAGGCCGGGGACGCGAGGCCCTGGCAGGGCAGGAGCGCAGCAGTGTCACACGTGGCACTGAGCCCGGGAAGAAGCAGGGGAGGGGACGCGACAGTCCTGCGCTCGCAGCCCATGGGCAGTGATGCTGGAGCCGCTCCGCTTCACCTGCGGGGACGCAGGCAGGCTGGGCAGTGTGGGAGGGCACGGCTGCTCAGGTGACGGCACGGGGACAGGGATGTAAACTGTTTCTCTGGGCTCTGCGGCTGAGGGATGGGAGCAGCTTTGCTTTCTCTGCCCGTTTTCCCCGTGTGATGCTCTCTTCACCCTGACGAACACACGCTACCGCTCCACACGCACAGGGAAGGACTCGAGCGGGGCCGGCTCGCCAGCCGTGGCAGGGCAGAGCAGGGCTTGCTGCTGCCTTCAGTTCTACAGACACGGTCGGCGCAGGGACAAGCAAGTATTTTTAACACCCCGGGCTGCCGCGCAGGGAGGGCTGCCTTGCCTGGAGCCTGGAAGCCCAGACTGGGCGTCTCTTCCCGAAGGCCAGCTCAGCTCCGCCAGGAACTGCGGACTTGACGCGGGAATCCCTGGGCAAAGCTCTTGCCAGGATCCCAGCAGACCTGGAACATTTTCCCCTCAAACACTGGCCCCAGGGTCCCGTGCCGGCCATGCGGGAGCACAGCCCGGCCGCACGCTGCCCCGGCCCACAGCCCAAAGCGGGAGATGCTCCATGCAGCACCGGCCAGGCAGCGCCCAGCAGGGATGGGCTCAGCGCCGGCAGGATGCCTCACGCACTCATCCCGTCCCCGGGGAATACGTGCCCAGCACAGACACCCCAGTGACCGCTGGGGAGGAAGGACATTGGGAGACACTGACTGGGTGTCCCCAGGTCTGGTTGCTCTGGGGGAAGGAGCAAACCCCAAAGCACTGACGGTGCCATTGGGTAGGTCAGGACCGGGAACTCAGCCCCAGCAAAATCCCGTAGGGACGTACATGCCTGGGGCCAGCACAGGATGACTGGGCTGTAGCTCCCCCACGGGGCTAATCCCCAGCACTGGGATCCACACCCTTCCCCACATCCACCCCAGCACTTGGATCCATTTCCTCCCCCACATCCACCCCCAGCACTGGGATCTACCTCCTCTCCCAGCACTGGGATCCACATCGTCCCCCACATCCACCCCCAGCACTGGGATCCATGTCCGCCCCCACATCTGTCTCCAGCACTGGGACCCACCTCCTCCCCGACATCCACCTCAGCACTGGGATCCATGTCCTCCCCCACATCGATCCCCAGCACTGGGATCCACGTCCTCTCCCACATCCACCCCCAGCACTGGGATCCACCTCCTCCCCCACATCCATCCCCAGCACTGGGATCCACATCCCGCCCAGCGCGGCAGCACGGAGGAAGGAGCAAATTCCTCCCAGACGGAGTTTCTCAGCAGTGCAGAAGCAGTGCAGTAGCCCGTCTGTCCCTCCCCTCCGCTCGCCTCCCACCCACCCACTCGGCGGCGTGGCTGCCTCCCGTGGCTGCCTCCCGTGTCGTTAACACATCGCCTCCGGCCAGCCCGGTCCTCCCAGCGAGCGCGGGGGAGTCTGGAGCCCCGGAGCGAGGGACTGCCGTCACTCAGCCTCACGTCTGGAAGTTGTTCTTGGATGGGCCCTGGGCATTCCTAGACGCACATTCCTGGCAGCTGGAGAGCCTCGTAGGAAAGATTCTTCTCTTGAAAATATCCGGTCCACGTGGAGCAGAAAGGGGACGGGGCAAACTCAGCTCTCCCACCCACCACCCTGCGGACCACGGCCGCGTGCCCCGGTGCCGGTGGGGTGCTGGGGATCCCGGCACCACGGCTGGAGGACATCTCATGTCCCCCCCAAAGTGACCACAGTGCAGACTCCGGCAGTGCTGGAGAGGGCTCTGCACCCTCAGCACCTTCAGATGCAATTCCCACAGGAGGGGGTTCCCCAGGGGGTCTGGCAGGAGCACCGGGCACCCTCTGCAGGGAGGGACGCTCCACAGAGCCCGGGGTCTGCAGGAACGCCACCCCAAGCACCCCGCACTCTGCAGGGCTGTTAGCTGGGGAAGGCGGGTCCCAAAGATGGGGAGAAGGAGATTTAAAAGGGGCCACGAAAGCCCACATGGCCCAGCAGCCCGCTCCGGGGCATGGGATGAGGCCGGCAGCCACTGCGGGCAGCAGCTCCTCGGTGGCGGAGCCGTGCCGTCACTGCAGGCAGCCAGGCCAAGCTCCCAGGTAATAAAGCCGTGGCAGGGGATGGATCACAGCGGGGAATTTCAGGGTCCTCGGCCATGGCTCTGCAGCTGGAAGAAGGCGCCTACACCGGGCTCTGCTGACCTGCCAGGGCTGGGAAGGCGATGCCCAAAGCCGGACATCATGGAAGCTCTCTGGGAAGGCAGGAGAGCCACAGAGCCAGGGGTCGGGACGCTGCCATCTCCAGCGCCAAACACCTCTGCTCATTTAAGACCAGCGCTTTCCAAGCCCGTCCCAGGTCTGGTGCTCTGGCCCGACCCGGGGCTGAACATCACCAGCAACACAGGACCACTCTCCATCCTGGTCTGGAGCCGGAGGAGTTGGGCTGCAGTGAGATGGACGTGCGTCTCACCAGGAAGGACAGCACAGGGAAAGCACCCGGGGTTTGCACTTGGATAGAAGGTGCTAGAGAAAAGCGAGATCATTAGCGGAGCTAAACGAAAGCAGATGCCTACAGGAGCCTGGGTTTCCAAAGCACACACGGCGAGCGCCCAGCACTGTGAAAGGGGATGACAGTGGCTTGGATTTCAGAAGCTGCTGAGCCTGCTGATGAACTGTGGTAGCACACTGCAAAGGTGAAAAACGCCGACTCGGAGTGACAACACCCCGTGCGGAGCTCCTGCCGGGGACAAACCGCGCACTGCTGAAACGCAGGGGAAACCCAAGACTTCAGGGCAATTCCCATTTCTGGCCAAGTTAAAACACTGCTTATCAACACAGCACACAAAGCGAACTCGGGGGCCGGGAGGTAGCTGAACCAGCGGGGTCTCGCCCGGCTTCTCCCTACGGCGGGGCTGTCTGCGGGCAGCGCTGGAGTTGCCGATGATGGGGATCGACAGCGTCCCCATCCCCAGCAGCATGGCCGGCAGGGCGAGGGGGGATTGTGCCCCTCTGCTGCGCTCTGCTCTGCTCTGGGGAGCCCCCCCTGCAGTGCTGCCTCCAGCTCGGGGGCCTCAGCACAGGAGAGACGTGGACCTGGTGGAGCGGGGCCAGAGGAGGCCACCGAGATGCTGGGAGGGCTGGAGCCCCTCTGCTGGGAGAGTTGGGGGGTTCAGCCTGGAGAAGAGAAGGCTCCACGCAGACCTCAGAGCCCCTTCCAGTGCCTAAGGGGGCTCCAGGAGAGCTGGGGAGGGACTCTGCATCAGGGAGGGGAGCCGTGGGACCAGGGGGGACGGCTTGACACTGACAGAGGGGGGATTTAGGTGAGATCGGAGGAGGAAATTCTCTCCTGTGAGGGTGGTGGGACACTGGCACAGGTTGCCCCGAGAAGCTGTGGCTGCCCCGTTCCTGAAGGTGTTCAAGGCCAGGTTGGACGGGGCTCTGAGCAAGCTGGGCTGGTGGGAGGTGTCCCTGCCCAGGGCAGGGGGGGGACTCGATGGCTTTTGAAGGTCCCTTCAACCCAAACCATTCTCTGATTCTATGATTCCATGAAAAGCTGCCGGTGTCCCTCCCGCTGGCACGGGAACAGCAGTCCGTGGGGCTCAGCCCCACCAACCCCACTACCGCCCCCCCAGGCTGTGGGTTTGCAGTCACCCTGCCCGGGGACAACGCTGCCCTGAGGGTCAGCCGGGTGGTAGGAGCGCTGCCGAGCCGGGAGATGTGCCAGGGCACGAGAGGGCTTTCTCTGGGCACTGATGCCCTCCCTGCGCCAAGGCGGAGTGTGCAGCCCCAGGCAACATGCTCCCGCTGTCACAACTCACTCAGTAGGAGGTTACGGGGCCGGGGACAGCCCGCTGCCGAGCGAACTCCCCGCCAGGTCTGGCACAGCCCGCTCTGGAGGTCCACGGGTTGCCCAGACCCATCCTGGGTGTGGGGTGCCAGCCCCATGCTGTAGGGCCAGCTCCGTGGCCCGGGCAGGCAGCCAGGACTGCCCCGTTAGGGACCGTGGCGACCCTGCTCGACCCCCCAACCCCTCTGTCCCCAGAGGAGCCTGCTCGAGCTGCCTGCATGGGGACAGGCACGGGAAGGGGCGCTGGGGGCAGTTTGGGGCACGTTGCAGAGTCAACGCTGCAGGTGCTGGTTCCTGCGGGCTCAGCAGAGCCAGTATGGGTACGGGGACAGGGTACGGGGACAGTTTATGGGGACAGGTTATGGGGGACAGGTTCCAGGGACAAGTTATGGCGACAGGTTATGGGTTACGGGGACAGGTTATGGAAGACAGGTTACAGGGACAGGTTATGGGGGACAGGTTACACTGACAGGTCAGTGGGACAGGTTACGGGGACAGGAGCAGGGTCTGCACCCGCACACACCCACCAGGTTGCAGAGACACAAACGTCGTTACGGCTCTCTGGGGAGGAAATTAAGGCAAATAAAGCGTGTGGCGCACCCCGTGCAGGAGCTCCGGTGGAGGTGTGCCGGCAGCAGCTCCTCAAGGGTTAATTCCTCCCTCTCTGCCCCATTAGCAGCAGCAGCAGCAGCAGGATGGATTCGGTCATGCTGCGGGAAGGGGAGGGAGCGCTCTCAGGGGCTCTCTTTGCAGGGACTGATCCTGAGCAGGAGCCCAATCCTCAGCTCCAGCCCAGGGGTGACACAGCCCCATCCCGGGCGCTGGCTGCCCATCAACCCCGCAGGCAGGGGGCCGGGGGACCCCCCGCTTAATGCTCCAGCACATAGGGTCCTCTAGGAATGCCACGGACCCCAGCACCCACTTTCCCAGCAGCGCCGTGCCCAGCCAGGCCCGAGGAGGAGACGGGCG